AAAAAAAAGAAAATCTTTTATAAGAGAGGAGAATTCGGGATGTAGGAGGAATAAACCAAAAAGTTCAAACTTACTCTAACAAGAGCCTAAAAAGAGAATAGAGAGACAGTTTTTGGGGAAAAATAATGATGCCTGAGTGTTTAAGAAAAACATAAAACCTGAGAGATTGAAAGAGCACATTGGTGAACTGAACAATCTGTACAAAGCAAACAAACAAGGAAAATCTTTTTAATGCAATTTCAGGACATCATCTCAAGTCATGAGGAAGAGAAAGAAGATTACCTAGAATAAAAAACAAGATGGAGAATTTCATCAGAAAACTCAAATCTTTAAGAGCCCAGTAGAAATTATAGAATTGAAAAATATAACTAAAGTTAAGAATTCAATGGATGAGTTACCAGCAGTTTAGACAGAGTTGAGGAGATAATTGGTTAGTGGTTAACTGGAGGATAAAGCCTTAAGAAAGTATCCAGAATTAATTGGACACACAAAATAATGGAAAATATGAATAAGAAGTTATAAGATCGAGCAGAAAAGTGAGGTCTAATATATGTCTAATTAGTCCCAGAATAGGGAAGGAAGGAGTATAGGCCAGACACCATTGAAAATATAATGTTTGAGTGAGAATTATTCAAATGTTTCCAGCATAAAAGAAAAAACAAATATTTAAGGTAATGACATCCCAATTACACTGACTTGATCATAATAAAGTATATGAATGTATTAAATTATCACATGTACCTAAAAATTATGTACATATATTATGTACATATTATGTATCAATAAATAAAAATGAAAATGGAAAACAAAGAGTGTAACAATAAAAAGTATATGTATATAATGATTGATAGATTTTTCAGAACTGAAAATAAATATAGTCATACTTTCCAGAGTCCCTCATGAACCCCAAGAAAAGCAAATTCAGCAATACTAAAAATAATATTATCACAACCAAATGGGATTTTTTTTCATGAACACATGGTTGGTTTAATATATGAAAACTAATTAATATAGTTGATCACATTACTGTAATAAAAAGAAAACATGACCATCTTAAGTATGCAGAAAAAATGTTCGATAAAAATTGAGTTTTAATTTATGAGAAAAAATTATCAAACTGACAATAGAGTGGAGTTTACTTATCTGTTAACGTTTCTACAAAGCACACATGTGTATGTGTGTGTGTGTGTGTGTGTTTGCATATCAGATTGTCCAAATTGTTTACATCTTTCAATATAAGTAGCAAAGATGCTTAGAAATATGCATTCTCTTACACTGCTATTAGAAGTGTAATTTGGTGCAATCACCAATTGGAATAATATGGCAGCATCTAGTAAAAATAAAAGTGTGGATGTGCTGTGACCCAGCAATACAACTTTGAATTACATATCCTCAAGAAGCTCTTTGCAGCATTTTGTTGTAGCAGCACCAAATAGGAAAGCCAAGACCCCTAACTGGAGAGTAGATAAATATGACATTCATGTAATAGACTGTAATAGAGAAATTAAAGGGAATGTTCTAGATCTCAACACATCAACTTGGATGGATATCTAAGAAAATGTAGTTAAGTGAAGAAAGAAAATTGCTGAATGATACCACTTATGCAAATGCTTAGGCTGGACGCCGTGGCTCACACCTATAATCCCAGCACTTTGGGAGGCCAAGGCAGGCAGATCACCTGAGGTCAAGAGTTTGAGACCAGCCTGACCAACATGGTAAAACCCTGTCTCCACTAAAAATACAAAAAATAGCCACGCAGGGTGGCGCATGCCTGTAGTCCCAGCTACTTGGGAGACTGAGGCAGGAGAATCACTTGAACCCAGGAGATGGAGGTTACAGTGAGCGGAAATCACACCACTGCACTCCAACCTGGACGACAGAGGAAGCCTCTGTCTCAAAAAAAACAAAACAAAACAAAAAAACAAACAAAACTTAACATTTGAAAATTTATTTGAGATGAACAGTTGTTAAAAAATATAACCTACCACAAAGAATTTAAGAGTAAGTAGAAAGCTGAAAAAACCTGAGTAGAACTATAACTGTCAGTATTTAACATTCTACTTACCAAAAAATGGGGAGAATACACCCAGGTGTTTTCATAGAGGAGCTCTAATAAATATGAGCTCGAGAGACATGAAAACTATGAAACAAATATTTTCATGAAATAAAAAGGAAGGGACTCATTCTAGTTGCTGATCTAATTTTGTATCAAACTATACATGGGCTACATAATGCTCCTTAATAATCAAAGAAATGCAAATTAAAATATTGTTTTAACCAGATTGGCAAAAATTAAGCATATTTTTGATACTGGTATTAGACATATTGCTAATACCAGTATTAGTGAGGGTGGGAGGCAGGAAGAGCGATATTTCTGGTGATAGTGCAAACCTTTCTGGAGGAGTTGGCAGAATGCATGGAATTTTTGGATGTCCATACTATTAGATATGAAAACTTAAAATATTGGAATTTTATGTTCAAAAAATAAATGATTCAAGAATGTGTGCAAGAATTCTTATGAAACTGTTCATTATAACCCTGCTTACATACACTGCACCATAAAATAGTTTATGTAAACAACCTTTATTTCCATCAATAGGAGTCTGATTTAATAAGTAATGACATGTCTATGCAGTAGTCCATACAGTCAATAAAATGATGATATATGATCATGATTGCTGATTGATAGATAGATAGACAGACAGATAGATAGGCAGATAGATTGATAGAAGTATGAGAATGCTAGGATATTGACCAAATATTAATGGTGGCTTTCTCTGGATAATGAAAATACATATGGTTACAATTTTTTAGTATATACTGGATGAAATAAGAGTAAGAAATCACATTAAGTACAAGAATTATAGAAATACTTCAGTGTTGTTATAGTCATTTATTAACTAATTTGCAAATCTCATAAGAGGGATTAATACCAGAAAAAATAAGAGAATCATTTCCAAATTTGATTTGGAGACCAAGAAAGAAAAGTGGATTGTGGAGTGAGAGGGTCTAAATATTAGTTTCTCAACAAAATCATGAAGATAAAAATCTGTAGTCTGTTATGGGCTCTCCTTTTTGTTTTAACTGCACTTAACTGGAAAGAAGCTGAAACACATCTTGCTTCCCCTCCATTTGCAGGTGATATACAAATTGGAATGGAGGACAAAAAGGGCCAATTAGAAGTTGAAGTTATTAGAGCACGAAGCCTCACACAAAAGCCTGGTTCCAAATCTACACCTGGTAAGGAGAAGTATTCCTGAATTTGGTGAAGGGGCTATTTAATAGGCAAACAAATAAAAACATTTGCTGTATTTGAATTTCATATGCTCTGTTTTGCATCATCTGATTAATTTAAAAAGCAGTGTTTCTGTGTTCTTTGATGTTATGAAAATGGATTTGGGTTTTCCTTGCACAGTTATTCTTTCAGAAGGTGTTAGGAAGTATGTTATAATATTTTTTAAAGTTTAGTTATGGTTGTTTCTTAGCTAGTGTCAATTATTTTCTTTCTGCACATTTAGAAAGGCAAAAGAAAAAAAGAATATATTCTAATTGTAAAAGGTGAACAATGAGCTTTAAGATATAAACCTGCATTGTAACCCAAGTAAGTCAACGTCTTCAAATAACTTTGTATACATTGAATCAAAATGAGGAAAATGGCAGTAATGGTAACATATAGATTTAAGGAATAGAATTTATGGAGCAATGAAAATTTTAAATATTTTAAACAGTCGATGGGAAACTTTCAGTAAGCATCTCTAATTCTCTAATAGGGAATTCTCTAATTAAAAAAACAGTTGAATTTAAGGAATAATTCTTGTATGTTAATATAACTTTGTTTAGCTCCATATGTCAAAGTATATCTTTTGGAAAATGGGGCCTGTATAGCCAAGAAGAAGACAAGAATTGCACGAAAAACCCTTGATCCTTTGTATCAGCAGTCTCTGGTTTTTGATGAAAGTCCACAGGGTAAAGTTCTTCAGGTCAGTAATTGTTTGGCTTTTTACATTGAAATGTTTGTATTATTCATATATCAAAGAGATGGTAAAACACAAAGAGATAAATGTAGGATAATATTCTTGAGTAGAAAAAATTCAAATGGTTAGTTTATAATGTAAATAATGTATAATATTAAAAATATTTGGTGGATCTAATAGAGAACAATTTTATTTTATCTCTCTCTCTTCTTTTCTTTTCTGTCTCTATCCTCTCCTTCTAGCTTTGCCCTGTTCCCGCCCCTCCTCACTCCTCACTAGATAGATAGGTATAAATAGATAGAGATATATCCTCACTAGATAGATAGGTATAAATAGATAGAGATATATCCTCACTAGATAGATAGATGATAAATAGATAGAGATATATCAAACAAAACAATGCTAATAATAGCTGTTTCAGCATTGCTCTCTGCCAAACATGGGATACAAAGAGGAGGAGGGAGAAGAGAAGAGAATAGGTCCTGGTTGAATGCCAGATGCATTTCTAGGTGCTTATATGCATTATTTAAACTTTGTAACTAACATGCGCAATACTATCATTATCCCCATTTTAAAGATTATGTCTGAGATTCAAGAGGTAAAGTAATTTCACAAAGTTACTCAGTAAAGTTTAAAGGTGGGATTCACCACCAACTCTGCTTGTATAAAACAGGTGAATGAGTCCAGTTGGGAACCTTTACAGATGACTGAAGTATTAGAAAATAGAACCCGGGACTATGTGTAATGGAAGGCTTGTCTGACACCAATAGCCAATAGAAGTTGACCTAGATTGTGGTAATTTTTAATGATCTAATTGAAATATTAATCATCTAAATTAAAATTGGCAGGCAAGTCCTCAAAAGGTACCAGCCCACAATTATTTGTTTGATCTACCCCTTCATTAAAAAGACCGTAATACAAAAGAAATCAAATGAGTACTCTCATTCTTTGTACATACTTTCTTGTACATACATTCCATGGTATACTGAGTTGGATTGCTCATCCTGCCCTCCTAAATTGCACAAATTTTAATTTTTATATTTTTATGGTCCTGCACATCGCTAATTAGATAGTAGTTACACAAGAAAGGTGTTGCATTCATATAAAAATAATCTTATGTATTTATTTCTTTAACATGGCTTATGTAGATAATACTCCTCATTAACTAGGAACACACAATCCTTCATTCCATCAGCCTAAAAATTATTGTGAAGTGTCTATAAGCATCTTAAGGTTAGTGTATCTTCTTATCTGTGCCTTCTCCTTGGTGATAGTTGTATTCATTTCCTCTGCTTCACTGACTGGCCCACTTTTACAGCATAGTTGCTTTGAGCCCTTCGGATATGAAGGAGAGAGAAGTCCAGGTAATGTTGCATTTCTCTCTCTCTGCAGGTGATTGTCTGGGGAGACTATGGCAGAATGGACCACAAATGCTTTATGGGTGTGGCTCAGATCTTGTTGGAAGAACTCGACCTGTCCAGCATGGTGATCGGATGGTACAAATTGTTCCCACCGTCCTCACTGGTGGATCCCACACTCACTCCCCTCACCCGCCGGGCTTCCCAGTCATCTCTGGAAAGTTCAACTGGGCCTCCCTGTATTCGATCATAGTGAACTCATACCAGAGTCATTCCAATAAAACTCTACCTTTCAGGATAATAATCTGAACCAGATATTTCATGATCAAAAGCATTGTTGGAGACAGACAATCAACTTGTGTTTTGCCTGTAGTAGTTTTTCAATAATATGTCCCAATTGTTATTTAAAACATGGCTTCATATGACAGAACAAGGCAATCTATCAAATTACAGGAAGAATCAACGTGCTGGTGAGAGTCACTGATGCTTCTAACAAATAGAAAAAGAGGAAACTTTAAATCTACACATACACCTACACACACACACACACACACACACACACACCCCAAATTGAACAAACTGGAAACTCTCACTCTGTGAAAAGTTGTATTCTACACGTTTCTGCACAGACCACAAGCAGTGTTATTTCCCTGATGTTTGAATTGTTTTGTTCTTTTGTGTGTTTTGTTTATTTGTGTGTTGTTTGTTGGTTTTCGTTTCTTGAGGTTTTTTTTTTGTTTGTTTTCACCACATCTGTTATTTCCACTAGTTTTTTTGGCTGTGTCATGACAGGCCTCATGATGCTAACAGAGACTCTTCCCTTCTTTTTTCCAAAAGCACCAAAAAAAGGGCTGAAGTGGTCTCTGTGGCATCTCCCCAAAGTGTTAAACAGCTACATAAGGTGAAGCCAAAGAAGGGTTTCACTAGCTTTCATTTTATAATTCTTTAAAGTCTTACGTGTGGAAACCCAAAAGACAAAAAGTTATCTTCCAAAATAAATAATCACAGAAGTACTTTTTTAATGAAGAGCCTATCTGTTTGCATTCTAGAAAATTAATTTATGGTTTCCATTGTTTTGCATGGAAGACTTTTAAAGAAGTCAATCTGCAACTAATGCTGGGGACTAAAACTAACTGCATAATTGTACTTTGAAAACACTCCTTGTATTGCCTTTTTCTTCCTGATATTAAAAAAAAAATGCTCATGTGTATAAACCATACTTTGACTTCCCAAAAATGGTGACTAGGAATGGATTTGAGCCTAAGACACTTTGAGCTACGCCCAGGCTTCTCAGCCATGCCTCAGTGTAGACACACCCATCTGCCCTGGAAAGAGCATGGTATGAGCTGTTCAATATTCCACTGGAAATTCCAGTTGAAATATTCTGCACTAAACTAATGTTTTTATCGAATTTTAGTTTACATTTCTTTGAGATTGATGCAAGCACAAAGCTTGATTTTTTAATGCAAAGTATCTTACTTTTGGGGGGAAAAATAAACAAAGTCAACTTTCAATTTGCATTTTCTTCATTTAGTTTTTCTTGGCCTTGAATTTCCCTTGTGACATTCTGTACATGTGCTACAAACTGCAGTCTCTGCGGGTGCATTGATATGTTCTCCCTCCTTTTATGAGTCACTCCACTTTTGTGATTACACAGATAGAGCAGCATGACTTGGAACTGTTCAAAGCTGCATGCACATTTTGTAAAAAAAATTTTAAAAAGAAAAGAAACAAAAGGTTATTTAATAATGTATGTTAGTTCAACATAGGCCAGCTTGTATGTTGCATGTACTTGTACAGTTTGCTTGTTAATTACTATACCGAAATAACCAAGAAATCTAAGCCATCCATTTTTGTTATAGACATTTTGCAGGTTTTAGCCAGACTCAGTCTCTGGGTCTGTGGTGAAATGTCTATAGATGGACTTTATTTTTTACCCTCCGGAAAACGTGATGTAGTACGGACCAAATTCCTTCTAATAAATATTTTGGTGTAGATTCCTACTGTGGGGCTGTAACACATGTAGACACTGTGTACACATTAGGTTTTAATTCATAGACATACTGCCTGCACCAAGTGAATTATTTATTATTATTTACACATGCCAGAATTATCTGCCCATCATTCCACAGGGCACAGATTGACCACTGCTCACCATGCTGAGCAGGAGGAACTGAAGCATTGGTGCACTTCTACTAGATTCCGTTCTGTCTTAGTGGCCAACAATCAACTGATTATAATTGGGTAGTATCTTTCTATTTTGACCACTTGTCTTAACACTCCCCTGTGCTTTTAAATGAAATTCCAACTCATGTATGTAAACATGTTTAATAAAATTTACTTTTCATGTCAGTCAGTAGCCATCTGTGTTCTATGTCTTGCCAGATTTCCATTGTGGGTTCTATGGTGCAAAATGGGAGCCAGACCATGGGAAGGGGAGGCTGGGGTTTGTTGTCTGCTGCAGGCATTTGACTTGACTTGTCACTGCACTATATTATGTCTTAATCAATGGCCCAAAGGGTACTTTGCATCACATACAAGTTTTCACTTTGTCAGCCTGTCTAAGTGAGCACATGACTATACTTCTGAAAAGTGGCATTATTAAAAATAATAAATCTCAGTAAGAATCAAATGGAAGGTTGTTTTCTGCTGCTGTTTGAATGTGCTAATAAAAGAGACAACTCTGTTGTCCAGTTGCCAAATTATTTCAAGTTATGTGGCATATCAGAAAATTGATTCCTGCGTCTCTCGTCACAGTATATTTCCCCTTTCCATCTTTTTCTCCTGACCCCATGACTAATTTGTATAACTTTGGTTTAGAGGAGACCAGTTTAACAAAAAATAAGGAATACATTTACTCTGAATTATATTTAATAGGATCTTAGGTAATAAAAGTATCTTCAAATATAGATAGATGAATATCCAGAATAATATATTCAAGGAGATATTACTAACTTTTTAGGTTATTTTATGATTTCTTCTTACCTAAAAGTGTGTTCATATATTTAATAATCGTCGCCTCTCACAATACACTTGGTAAGCACTACTTTCATCTTGCATTGTAGTAAATTAACTTTTGTGATCTAGTCTGGTCTTTCTAAGGCTCTTAATTTTTTATAGACCACACTGGCTTTAACTTGTAAAGCAGAGTAAACACAGTTACAGCAACATCAAATTTGAGGCAATAAAGAGATTGAAGACATGAATGCATCAGTTATTTATAGTTTTTAAACAGTTGACTGAATTTTACCCTATTAAATCATACATTTGTTTGGTCTACAAGACACAAGATTATCTGTTAGCCTGGTCAGTAAGAGGCAAAAACAACTGATCAGTTCAGTTTAAAACAGTCAAGAGTAAAGCTGATTAATGCTCGTGCATTAAGATAGCTCAGAGCTGGGTGTGGCCAGGAGACAAGCCTGCCACTGAAACAGATGATGAGAGTGGGCTTCAGAATGATTGTCTAGACAGGAGAAGAGCAGTAATCTCGCTTCAAACCATATAAAGCTACCCAGTGTTGGGATTTCAGAGCCTACAGTGATGGGAGGAAGGAACCTGAGGAAAGGCAATTTTGCTAAGTCTTCATAGTTTCTTGCTGACTCTGACAATTTATTTCTTGAAATCCCAGCCCCATATATATCCCAGATAATATATTATCTGATTATACTTAACCAACATCATTAAGGATTTTGTTAAGTACTAGGTATTAAGTACTTAGAATATAAAGTAGCCCTGAATTAAACTAACTCCGTGTATTAAAAGAGATCATTTTATATATATAAGGAAATAATTATGATAGCATACAGTAAATCCTCAATGTCATTAAGTTCTTAGAAACTGTGACTTTAAGTGAAATGGCATATAAAGAAACCTTTTTTTTTCTCCGTCAATGTTATCAAGGCCCTGTTGTACATTGCTTCACTTAAAGTCAGTTTCCAAGAACAGGTGGTTAAGTTAGTCCAAGTTAGGACTTACAGTATTTGATTTGTATACGAAGGCTGTGGGATTATATTTACTCCCTCACAGCAGTCCTACGAGGTAAGTATAGGACCCCTATTTCACATAGAAGGCTCTGCAGCTTAGACAAGCGAAGCAACAAGCTAAGGTCACACAGCTGATGAGTGACCATACTGGGATGTGAACCAAAGTCTGACCAACTCAGGATCCTGCCATGCTAAGCGCTCTCTGTCCTCTACTAACTGCTGACAGATATTAAAGAATGAAGAGTTCACGAGGTGAGAAAAAATCCTAAGCTATTTCTCTGCGACAAGGCAGCTCCTAGCCAAGTTGGTCTCCCACAAGTTGCCTGAGTGACTCTGCCTTATGATGGGGGTGGGGGATAGGAAAAGGAGGCAGGTGGGCTCTTCTCCATTCCCTGAAACCTCTCTCTAACCCTCTCTCTCTCCCAGCTCTCTCTCTCTCCCGTCCCCTGACCACTCACCATTTGCACTGTCAAACTTCATGAACACATCATATGCAGCCTTCAGGAACAGTTTGAGTAAAGGAGATAGAATAAAGAAAGAATTATTCTTTAACTTTCCAAAAGTAGTTTTATCTACCCTGCCTCCTCCAATTACCCCGCCTGCTGCTCATTAATAACCCCAGTCTAGGTTGTCAGACCCAATAAAGCAGGGGTCACCCATCCCTGGGCCATGGACTGGTACTGGTCTGTGGCCTGTTAGGAACTGGGCCACACAGCCAAAGGTGAGCCAGGCAAGTGAGCTCTGCCTCCTGTCAGACTGGCAGAAGCAATAGATTCTCACAGGTGCGTGAACCCTATTATGAACTGTACATGTGAGGGGTCTAGGTTGCGTGCTTCTTATGAGAATCTAATGCCTGATGATCCGTCACTGTCTCCCATCACCCTTAGATGGGACCATCTAGTTGCAGGAAAATGGGCTCAGGGCTTCACTGATTCTACATTATGATGAGTTATATAATTATTTCATTATATATTATAATGTAATAATAGAAATAAAGTGCACAAACTGTAATGCCCTTGAATCATCCTGAAACCATTCTCCCCCTGGGTCTGTGGAAAAATTGTCTTCCACAAAACCAGTCCCTGGTGCCAAAAAGATTGGTGACTGCCGCTCTATCGCTCTTACCACAGAGCTCCTTTAATTAAAAGTGTATACCTATCTCATCACATACTTGGTGGTCAATTGGTTTTTGTAAATGTAAATGTATTCATTGGATTAAAAAACCCACAATTGCCCCATCATCCCAGCAAAATCTCCTTTGGATCATCTTGATCCATGCCTAACGCTGAACAAATATCTCTGACCAGAAAAATGAAATACATTGATGGACAGGCTTGTGTCAAGAGTCCAGCCCTGGATCTAGGGAATCTAGACAGTTGCACCCAAACCACATAGAAAAGTTAGAGTAGTTCTCCCAAGGCAATATGGATGCTAGTAGAAGAAAGAGAATGCACCTGTCTTAGAGAAGGACATGATGGAAAAGTTGTGTCTGCTCTAGATCCATTTTTTCTTTCCTCTCAAGACCTAGGAAAGGTGGTACAAAAATTCTCAAATTAGCCACACCCAACCACACTCACTCTGATGACACTCATCCTCTCCTCTCTTCCAAATTATGGAGCCACTCATCTGGTGTCTTAAATATTTCTAAGACTCCAGACTGATATTTTGAGGAATATGGCATTATAATTACATCTATAGCATGCAGGAAGACATACAGCTAACATAAAATACACTACAACATATCTGTTAAATGGAATAATAATAACACCTACCTCATACAGTTATTTTGAGGATTAAAGTAAATAGTAAATATTAAATTTGCAGAACAAAACCTGAATTCATAGTAAGTGGCTTAATAAATGTTAGCACCTATAAGCATTATGCATAAACCTAACTTTGTGAAGTCTAAGTTAACCTTGTGAAGACTTCATATGAGAACAAAACTCTTGGGCAAATCTGGCCTTCATTTCCTGCTAATTTATCTGGTCCACCACCACCGATAGAATGTCTCCTTCCAGTACTGGCAGATAAAAACAGAGGAAGATTTGTCCTCTGCTCAGGTGATAGGAGAGCTAATTTCAATAGCCCATATCACATACGCTGTCTTCAGGCCATTCTGTGCATCTTCAGTAGGGCTGGTTGTTCCTTCCTTTTCTAGACCAACCTCTGCATTTAGTGAGCACCACCTCTTAGAAGCAGACAGAGCACTCTCTCTGACCCAGTCCAACAGAACAAGGCTAGCTTTAGAAAATGGTGCTTTCTAATGACCATTTTCAGTGCCATTTCCTGGATGATTTCATTAGTAAGTCTCGCAATTTTTCTATTCCAGAAATTCTCAGCTTCTCAAGGTTCTCTAACTGCCTTCTGCAATGTGAGGTTCCCAGCCTATTCTCTACCTGCAAATCTGTTCCCGTATCACTGAATTCTCCCCAATTTCTCCAGGAGCAGACGAACTGAGTCGTTTCACTGAAATCACCACCTTTTTCTTTCTTCCTTTCTGGATACCCAGTCTAGGTCCTCTCGTCAGATGCTGGATCATCTCTTTCATCCTCCTTTGCATGTACTTTCATTCCATCACTCCTTTCCCTATTTATGTTCCGCAAGACGTGACTGTGGCTTTTCTGATTATACGTGTTATCTACTTATTCTTCTACATTTTCCAAGTTCTATCAAAACATAAAATCATCAGAAACCACACGCCTACATCACTCTAGCTTGTTCCTGCCATCATGTTCACTCCACCCTAAATTCATGTTTTTTCCTAATGTTTCCTAATGTTTTGCCTTTGGTTTTCATTGAGTGTTCATTAAAGATGCTTCTTGCGTTGGCTATGCATGTCTGTCAACTATTTTTCCAGTATGTCAGTGAATACTTTTTGCAAATATTTTTGTATGTTTGTTTTACATTTTATTATTTAGTGTCTGAAAAAAGAATTTTTTTTCCTGCTGGGTGGTTGTGCTTTCTTCTACTATAGAGTTCTTTCTTTAAGACAAATATACTATTCTTTATTTTTATCATAGAGCAGGCATCTTCAGTCTATTAAAAAGTATGGAATGGGATCAAATGTAATTTTAGAGGCTTCTCATGTTTCTTTTTTTATTCCAACTTTTATTATAAGTTAAAGGGTATATGTGCAGGTTTATCACATGGGTAAACTGCATGACACTGAGGCTTGGGGTCTCAGCAATCTCATTACCCAGGCTGTAAACATAGCACCCAACACATGGCTTTTCAGTCCATGGCCCCTCCCTCCCCTCACTAGTGATCCCAGTGTCTATTGTTCCCATCTTTATGTTCATATGTATTCAGTGTTTAGCCCCCACTTATAAGCGAGAACATGCAGTATCTGGTTTTCTGTTCTTTCTTTAG